GAGGTAAAGGAGGAAATTTAGGGAAAATGGATAGATAATAGTGCCATAAGGAATCAGCAAATTAGGAGGAAAGAGGCAAGTTTTAGGTGAAATTATTATCAATCTCACTTTTAGACATATTGAATTTCAGATGGCAATGAGTCACCTATGTAGAGACATCTAGCAAAGAGTTGAAGACATAGAGCTAATTCAGAAGAGAAAACAGAACCAGATATGAAAATGCAATCGTCATCTTTAGAGAAGTAATAATTGAAGCTATGGAGGTAAATAAGATTACTGAGACTATGTACAGAGTAGAGAAATTTGACTTTTCCTTCAAAAGCCAGATAAATGCTGGTCCTTCTGTAAGGTCTTCCTTGACCTTCCAAATACAAAGTGATCTCTCTTTCCTCTAAACTCTTACAACAATTTTTTTGTGTATCTCATGCAGTTTTCAAGTTTTATTACATTTATTTATGGATGTGTCTTATCTTCCCTATTACATTATAAGCTCCATGACAACAAGGACCACATCCACTTTTTAAATTGAATATTAAATTAAATTGACATAATTTAACCCAAGGTGTACTTGAACATCGAAAATGATTTCATTATTGCAGGATTTGACTACTCATGTGAACTAGTGGTAAAGACTATGGCAACTAGCTCAGATGCTATTAACTCTCCTTACATAAACTTTGAAGCCAAACCAAGTACAACTTAACTCTCAATCATCATTAGGATTATAAGAAGAATTTTTGTACTAAAAGGGCCACAAAAAAGTTATGGAATCAATGAAAAATTTACACAAGCTTTGTAAAAGTTATCATTTAAGGTAATAGATTATGTGAGAACACCCCAATTACCAAAAAAAGTCAATCAAATTTTAAATCACTTAAAAAAATTAAATAGGGTAAAAAGACATTATTATGATAAAAGGAGGTGAGACAAATAGGTGATGTAGGGAGTGATATCATCCCTCCCATATGAGAAAATTAAGGAATTAGTCTATTAGTCTAAGTGCATGTTAAAACTTTGAAACTATTTCTTATATCACTTCCACAAAATGATCAAGGCTCTTGAGCAGACGATCTTCACCATTTTTCTGTTATAGACCCATCTGGAAATCTGCTAAACCCTATAAGGCCCTTCTGGGATAATGTTTTTAAGTCAATAAAACTAAAAAAAAAAAATACAATTACAAAGGAAGCCAATCATAGTGGATACAATTAATCTATAAAGTTTTTATATATAAATATATAGATATATAAAATAAGTTCATTGACCTAGGTTAAGAACTTCTGCTGAGATACTTAGATTAGCCTTTGCATATGTATAAGACTTTCCCCATCACTCGTTTCTTAAAGAGAAATTTATCAAGGTTTTGTGCTTGGCACAGCATGGTTGGCAATTAATAAATTTTTATTACTTGATTGATTGGATTTGAACCAAAAGCCTTATGTAGTCCACAGTATATGAATAAAAGAAAAAAAATGAGCAGGAAAAACAAGGCAATGATGGCAGTGTTCTTGATGCTAATGAAAGGTTTTCTCCATGAGACAGCTTTCGAGTGGACTTATTTCTTTGTTCCTATATGAAAGATGCATTTAAAACAACCTTGGAGGAAAGAGTAATGAGGTAAAGAAAAATGTAATGAAATTTTTCATGGTGAGTTAATTCAAATACCTCACCAAAAAAAAAAAAATGGAGGTGCAAAGATTCTGAAGCTAGAATACTCTGATAAAGTTGATGTTAAGCACACTGGGGGAAATAAAAGTTATCTCTGAGATTATATAAAACTGAATCACTCAGATTTCTAAATACATATATATGTGTGTATAGATATATGTATATACACACATACATGTGTACACATACATATACACACATACATACACATACACACACATGTTACACTAGGAACTATATAATGATTTTTCAAGAGAAGTTTCAAGAACATTATAGCTTTTTGGTAGGTTAGTAAGAACATTTTGAAGATAATGACAAATAAAACTGACTGTATTTGAACAGAAAGAAAAGTATTGTTTCCTGGTATGATAATCACAGTAGAATTTACTGTCTATGTGTAGTAAGAATTAAAACAAAGGTTAATATAAACATAAAATTGAAAATAAAGGCCAGAGGTGAGAAGAAAATGCTGTGAACAATTATAATTGCTGCAATGTGACATTCAAATAAGGTATTAACACTAAAAAGTGGGAAATAGAAGAAAGCAAAGATAAAAATTTAACCAGTATAAAGCAGTCATCACAAAAAGGAGGCCAAAAGAGCTTAGAAACTTCCTTAGCCAATAATCACTTTAACTCTTTGCCTAGCAAACAGAGATGGCAAGAATATGCAAACTCGTTTGTAAAATATCATGGAAGAGGATGGTGGAAAATCATGAGTAGTGCTGTCTTATAAAAGGATTAAAAAACCACTTAGGGAAAAAAGAATCTGTAGAGAGCTCGGCATGAGGCTCAAATGAACCACACCATCCCAAAGGCATTTAGAGACGAAACTAGTAAGAAGATAATCACTACACCTGAAAAGGAACAAATCTGTTAATATTTTTATAATAATCTATTTTAATTATTGGTGACAATGGAACTTCCTCATTATGTCTTTAAAACATATGTCTCTGGAGTGCTATATGAAAAAATAGAAATGGCATTTAGACAGACTAAGTCTGAAAGAACAAGTAGGCTAAACTAGAGTTATACCAAGAAAATCCTTCCTGGAAACAAAACAATCTTGAAAACATTGAATAATTATTTTAAAAGATATCTCAGGGAAAAGAAGATAATAAAAGAATGGAAAAGTCATGGACAGCGTTAATACCCCAAAAGGGATATCAGCAACTACCAAACTAGATGCCTATTTCCTTATCTTCGTTAACTCTGTATGAGAATGGAGTACATCTATATCAAAACTATCATCAATGTAAATGAGGAGGAAAAAGAAACTTTCACAAATGTTTATTTTGTTGTTCAGTTATTTTCAGTCATGTCCAACTCTTCATGACCTCTTTTAGGATTTTCTTGGCAGAGATACTGAAGTGGTACGCCATTTCTTTCTCCAGCTCATTTTACAGATGAGGAAACTGAGGCAAACAGGGTGAAGTAACTTGTCAAGGGTACAGTTGGTAAGTGTGTGAGGCCAGATTGGAACTCAGGAAGGTGAATCTTACTGTCTCTAAGTCTGGTACTCCACCCACTGTGCCACCTTGCTGCCCCTAAATGTTTATATACGGCAGACTTAAATCTTTGCAGGCACATAACTGTCTAAAAAGTATGAAGAAGACAAAATTAAACTTTTTTTATTGTATATTGATTATGAAAGAAGGGAGGGAGGGAGGAACAAAAGGAAACTTTTACCTTAGAGCCAAATCCAACCTTAATGGTTGTCTCCCAACAAAGAGTATCTTGTACATTTATTAGAATCAAATAAAATTTCTGACCAATGAAACAAAAATGATAATGAGTGTGTGATTTTATTTTTTAATTTTAAGTGGCATTGCTATACGGTATTTTAAGCATAGTCTAGTGTGAGGCTAGCTAAATATAATGGGCTAAGTAAAATAGTGTTCAATCACCCACCAATCAAGAAAGCTCAGCCTCCAGGCTGGAGTTAGTTCCAAAGGCAAGTAGAGTAACTTCTCCCAAGATTGAGGATAGGGAGGTTTTGGGAATTCCAGTCTAAAGAGTACTGTTCCAGATGGAGAGAAGAGAAGTAGTGGTAGGATTAATGGCAAGATGGCCAGCCAGGATGGCCAGTAGGAGGAAATGGGAAGCTTTGTAATCATGAGTTTGTTTGGGGCCATGATGAGGATGGATGCCTTCGAGATAATCCAGGTAGAGGACTGGGTGTGTAAATTTGGGAGTCACCCTAAAACAGATGGCAATTCAAACTTCTCCTATTGTTTTGTATCAGTTATTTGTCTCTTGCCTTCTTTACTAGATTATAAACTCTTGAGGAGAGAAGCTGCCATATTTATCTCCATAAAACCTAGAGTCTCATACAATAGCTTGCACATAACTATGTGCTTCATAAGTGTTTCCTGAATAGATGTGACAATCATCTCTACAAGACAGGGACCACTGAAGTCAACTCTGGTCTTTCATGGTGAGAGTCTGAGCCTGGGAGGCAAAATTCTTCAATCCTGATTTCTGGATTATGGCATAATTTTGGACACCAAGTCTATTAAGTTTGTTGCTAATTACATATGTTTAGACTAGGCACTGTATGTGGGCTATGAGCTGGGCCCAGAGCTGAAAAGGAGAAAGAAAATGGACTGACCTGCATTTGGGAAATTGTACAATGTTTTCAATGTTCCCAAGGTGCTCTGTGATACAAAAACCCAAGGAGTCAACATGAATATTCTTTTGGTGATGTTTTCATGATTACGTATCTTGAAATATTATCATCTCTAAGGAATTAAAGCATACTTTAGGCACTTAATAAATGTTGAATAAATGGTAAGGATTTATTTAGCAGTTAAGTGGCCTACTGGATAGAGCAGTGGACCTGGAGTCAGGAAGACCTGAGTTCAAATTTGACCTCAAACACTTACTAGCTTTGTGACCCTGGACAAGTCACTTAACCTCTGTTTCCCTTAATCTACTAGAGAAGGAAATGACAAACCATCCCAATATCTTTGTCAAGAAAATCTCATGGATAGTATGGTCCAGAGGGTAAGGAAGTATTGGGTGTGACTGAACAACTGAACAACAACATTTATTTAGCATTTCTTCTGTGCCAGGCACTATGCTTAGTACTAACTAAATAAAGGAATTCTTTTATTAAGTACCTACTAAGTACAAGGTCCTGAGATAGAGTGACAGTAATAGAGCAACTTTGTTCTCAAGAAGTTTATATTATCTTCATCAACAATCTACTGACAATTGAATATTTCATTTGGCTGGTATTTAATTTAGAAAGTGCACAGAAGTAATTTCTAAGCAACTATTTCAAAATGTTAATAGACCCAGTTTAGAAGAACTTTTAAACACATTCATTACCTTGGCCATTATTCTTTTGAGTCTTTTCCGTTCAAGCCACCCCCTAACGGCCCCCTGAATCAAGATGATTGCTTTCAGGATCTTTTTGCTCATTTTGTCTTTACGCTTTCGGAGTTGAGGTTGAAAGGCAAGATAAATGTCTAAATGTGGCCCAATTCTTTCGATGTCAGCACTATGGCCAATAGATTTGGACCTAGAAATGAAAATGGAAAGATTTTGTTTTCTTTTCTTTTTTCAGATATTTGTAAGTAGGGGCAGCTAGGTGGCACAGTAGAACATCAGCCCTGAAGTCAGGAGGACCTGAGTTCAAATCCAGCCTCAGACCAAACACTTGACACTAGCTGTGTGACCCTGGGCAAGTCACTTAACCCCAATTGTCCAAAAAACAAAACAAAACAAAAAAACAACAAATATGTGTAAGTAACAATAGACAGCTAGATGGCGCAAAGGAGATAGTGCTGGGCCTGGAGTCAGTAAGACCTACGTTCGAATCCGGCCTCAGCCACTTACTACCTGTGTGACCCTGGGCAAGTCACTTAACCTCTATTTGCCTCTGGAGAAGGAAATGAAAAACCCCTCCAGTATCTTTGCCAAGAAAACCCCATGGACAGTATTAGCATGATATGGTCCATGAGATCACAGTCAGATATGATTGAACAACCATCAAATAACAATAGGGGTGCTAGGTGGCACCATAGTGTACCAAGTGCTCAACTAGGAATCCCAAAGACCTGAGTTCAAATCCAGCCTCAGACATTTACTAGCTGTGTGACTCTGGGCAAATCACTCTAACCTCTCTTTGCCTTAGTTTTCTAATTTGTAAAATGAAGATAATGCCAACCTCCCAGGGTTGTCATGAGGACCAAGGAGACAATATTTATAAAGCACTTAGCACAGTGCCTGAAACATAGCAAACAGTATATAAATTTATTTTCATTATTACTGTAACATTAAAATCTATGTACTTAAATAAGTTGTAATGATTTTAAATGATTGGCAAAATGAATATAACACTATATAACTGCTGATTATCCACTTAAGTCTTCTATTAAAAAAAATGTACAATTAGTTATTCTGGCATTCAATGAGACTTTTTTCCTTCTTCATTTACTTCTGCCCTGAAGGTAGATTCTGCGAGATCCTTAGATATATCAGGAAAAGGCTAGACAGTCTCATTGTCCAAAGGAAGACTAATGTTACATTCACAAATAAAATCAATGTAATTAAAATTAGAAAGGGAAATAACTAACTGCAGGGGCAAGTTTCTCTGATAAAGCAAACTTCTCTGATAAAGGCCTGATATTCAAGGTCTGATAGGAACAGGAACTTTTCTTTCATTATTTCAGGCAACACCCAGATGAGGATACTCCCCTTTACCAATGCAAATCAGTGCCTTCTCTGTTTTAGCTGCCTAGAGCTCTGACAGGTTAAATAACTGTCTGTATGTAAATATATATGTATGTGTGCGCAGTATAAGTATATGTGTGTGTGTGTGTGTGTGTGTGGAATAGATAAAATAGGTAAGAACCAGAGCTTTTATCCATTAGATAAATGGTCAAAGGGATATGAACAGGTAGGTCACAAAAGAAAAAGCTAGGCTATCAATTGCCATAAGGAAAAAAATGTTCCAAATAACACACACACACACACACACACACACACACACACACACACATATATTTTATATATATATATATATAATATTTTAAATACTAAATATAAAATAAATATTTAGAAAAATATGAGAATGGGTACCTCACATTCATCCAATCGGCAAAGATAACCCCAAACAAAGGAAACTAACAATTGTCAGAAGGGCTATGGAAGGACAAGCACAGTAATGAACCATTGACAAAGCTGTAATGTGGTCCAAACACTCTGGAATATATACCCAAAGAGTCACCAAATTAGACATACCTTTTAATCCAGTGATACTACTGCTTGGCTTATATCCAAATGAGAGCAGAGGAAAACCACCTATATGTACAAAAATACATATTGGCAGCCCTTTTTTGTTGTTGCAAAGAATTGTAAACAAAGTAGGTGCCCTCCAATTGGGGAGTGGTTGAACATATTATGGTATAAAAATGTGATTTAATATTGCTGGACCGTAAGAAATGATCAAAGAGACAGACTCATAGAAAACTGAGAGGACTTGCATGAACCAATGCAGAGTGAGTTGGGCAGAACCAAGATAAAAGTTTGTAAAATAACAAAAACATTACAAAGAAAAACAACAGTAAAAGCCTTAAGAACTAGAATCAGTACAACCAACTGTATGACACTGAAGACTGAGTAAGTTTCCCACCTCTGGGCATAGAACTAATGGACTAAAGTATAAAATGAGATATATGTTTTCAGACATGGACAATGTGTGGATTTGTCACATGCAATTTTATATGTATATTTTTACCAATAATGACTTTTTTGTAAGGTAGGAAGATATGGGAAGGACAGAGTAGTGATAGTCATACCAAAAACAGAAGACAGAGAAAAGAACATTAATGAATAATTTTAAAATACACAGAAGGGAACAGAAGAAAGTTCAGAAAGGGACACAGAAAACCGGAACAGTGTGGAAACTGCTTTGTTAAATTTGAATCATCTTTTAAAAGCTTTATTGAAGAAAAACATATGCATAACAAAAGTTCAAAGTTTTTTTTCTTTGCATGTTGAAATGTTCTTTTTTTTTGTTAAGTTCATAATAAAAATATTACATTTTAAAGGCTATGCCATAACCAGAGAGACTTATTGAACTCATCTCTCCTGTTTTATGAGAGAAATGCATTCCAATGACACAGTATGGATTCCTGGTACACAACAGGTGCTTAGTAAATTATTTTTTAATTGAATTAAGATGGAGCCATGCTACTTGTCAGGAAAATGTCAACTGTGAAGATCCACAAATCTAAAAGGGAAAAACAAGGTAGAAAGTGCTTGGACAAGGAAAGAAGGATAGAAGGACCAAATGCATACAGATATCATGGAAGAGTAATAACCTAGGCTTCAGGCAGGGATATGCTGGTGTATGTTTAACAACTGACTCTCTAGGGGAAAAAGAAGTTCTCAGGACATATTTTTAAGTTTAATCTGTAGCATTAACATTTTCTCCATCATTTTATTAAGTCTAGACAGTCAATAAAACAATAAATCAAGCCCTAATTTGTAGCATTTGCCAATTCAGAGCTAGAAATGGTCATATTGAAAATTTACAACCAGTTCTCAGAACTGATATGAGGTACTACAGAATGTCTCTAAGTAACTCAAATCACCTGACCAACTGGGAAAAAAATGATAATAGATCTCAGACACAAAAAAAGAAAAGTTCTGCAAAACTAAATAGCATAAGAAAAAAAATACTGCATTATGTGCAGAATCTCATACCTCCATGGTCACCCATTTCTGCAAAGGAACAGAGATAGATGTCTTCTCATATCTCTTTGTAGATCAACTTTAAAAAAAAAAACACCTAAATGGCCAACAGCAATTTTTTTTTTCCTATGGCCCCTTTTCAACTACACATTGAAAGTCTCTGAGAAAGAGGACAGGAACACACATTTAGAGCTAGAAGGGACCATAAAGTCATCTAAGCCAAACCTCTTATTTTACAGAGAAGGAAACTGAGGCTCAGATAGGTATAGGGATTTGCCCAAGGTCACACAGGTTGTGACTAGCAGAATAGGTTTCAATCCTAAATGTGATGTTCTTTCCACTACAATAAGAATGAGAAGAACAAGATTCAATAGGAAAATTTGGTTTTCTCCCTTTAGATATGATAAATTTATGCATCAGAGTTTCAAATCAAATAATATTTTCATAGAACGAAAGAAAAAAAGTAAGGAAGATTACACATCAGAAAAGATACAGAAACAAGTTAATTAGTAAGTTAATCATGTCCGAACTTTAGACACTGGTTTTGGCAAAACATCTACAATGGGAATTTCCTTTCAGCTTTTAATGCTTAGAAGAGGCTATATATTAAATACTAAATCAGTTTTAGAGTTTGGTTCTACTAATTAGTTTTGGCTGATTCTGAAGTATTTTGTATGCCCCATTTCTAAAAGCGCTGTTTGCCCATCTGTTCCTGGGTTGAAAGTGATTAAAGGATACTTATTTTGGCTGTTGTAAAAGCCAGATACTTTTCAAGCTGCAAATATGTGACAAACCCAACTAAGGTTGCCAAGTTCAGAAACATATTACAAGAGATTGGTGATGCCTTCTTCCCCCCCACTCTTCTTCCAACAGGCATTACAGAAAAGTAAATAGTGCCCATCTCCTGATTAGACCAACAGGCCTGCTTGGTCCAAATGCCTTGCAATTTTGTTCTAATTTACACAATTTGCTCTGATTTGGATGTTCTACTACCAAACTTGTTGAGGGTTTTCTGCGTACTGCATATGTAGCCTTGGAAGAGAAGTGTGTGATAGGCTCGTACTCAGAATGTAACTTCAGTAACAAGGAAAACACATTTGTGTTCTTCCTTTTTCCCACCTTCCCCAACTTCCTCACCCCCCCCCAAAAATGAGGGCTGTTTCTATGCAAAACAGTCTATTCAAATCAGACATGGTCTGGATTGGTTTTGCCACTTTAAGGATGTAATACATTCCTATTAAACAGTTATAGTTTTGCCTCAATATTGATTATGTTCCCTAAACCCTATTCTATTACTTGATGCTTCATAGCACAGGAGTTGTGGCATTAACCTTAGCACACTACTTTTAAGAATCAAAGAATATTAAGAGCTAAAAGGGATGTGGAGATCATGTTGCCCATATATCTTATTTCAATTTATATAAGAAAATAGACCTGGAGAGATTAAACAATGTGTTCTTGTTTGCACAGCTGGTTAGTAGCAGAACTGGGATCACTGAGGCAATTCTTGACTATTCAGGCTAGCCCAGGGCAAAATTTTGAAAAAGACTGAAATTTGCTGTCCTACCAATAGTACCTTTCTGTGTCCCTCTCCTCTACTAAAGGGGCTCTTAACCTGAGGCCCCTGAGCTTTTTTTAAAAAATGTATTATTTTTACAAGTGTTTCATTCTATGTATTTTATTTTCTGCATTTAAAAACATTTGGAGAAGAGGTTCTGCCAGATGGTCAAAGGGGTCCATGGCACAAAAGGAAGGTCCAGAACTACTGCTCTGCTGTGTGCAAAGCAGTCTGTGAGCTCCAAGTAAGACACAAAGCTTTGATAAAATATAGCATCTGCCTTCATAGAGCTTACAGTCTTATAGGGAGTGATATGATAGACACAACTAAAGTACAAAATAATACATTAGTCCATCAGAAAATTGCCAAAATCCTAATGCAGAATTGATGAGGGAAAGAATCAATGAAGGCTTCAAAGTTTCTTAGAATAAGTGATACTTCAAATGGGCTCTAATGGACAGACTTGAACCTAACAGAGAATCATGGTTTCGTACACAATAATCTTTTTTGTTCTTTATTTGTTCGTATTTGCTGGTATTTGTTAAGTTCTGAATGACAAAAAAAATTGTTTAAAAAAAAGAAATGGGTAGAAATTCATCATTCTGGTAGAGAGAGTAAAGAGTATTTCAATCACAGTTAATAGTCCCACTATACCAACTGAGCCCCTCAAGTGAT